TAGGCAAAACCTTCCAGTATCAGGGCATAATTGCACGTAATTTTCTCTCCTACCAATGATTTGCATCAGGTTTTTAAAAATTCTGGGCTATTTAACACCCCATGATCCCCCCCACACCGCCCCATCTTCCTGCCTACATGTCTTTCGCTCCCTCCTCCTTCCTCATCTCGGGTCCAGCAAGACTCATTTTAAATGCTTATTAGAAACGCAATGTCACCAATAAAGGGGTGGGGACAAAGAGGAAGTGAGAGGAGAAAGAGGCTGGAAGTCTCCTGTGCAGGTGAAATCCAGTCCCAAGAGTCCACTGACTGCCTTGCTCTTGTCCTATTAAGGGTCAGGGGTGGTGGGGTTCAGAGGTCAAGCAGATCTCAGTTAGAACCCCAGCTCCACTGCTCAATAGCTCTGAGGCCTTCTGTGAATTTCTCAACCTCTCCAAGAATGCCTCCCCAAGAGGAAGGGTGCTGTGGGGTTCAAATGACCTCATTAGGCCAGATGTTTACATGGGTTCTGGTGCCAAGAATCTGACCTTGCTGGTCTATCTCCTCTGGAGGCCTTGGACTATGATGGAGGGCAGAACTGGGCACCTGCCGTTGAGAAACACTCAGAAGATGACATTTGTCAACCACCATGCAGATCTAAAGCTCCGTCTCAGGAGGAAGGGGATACTGCTATTTGTGGATGCAGACTCTGAATCCTGATCTGCCCCTGTGGCCTTGCACCTCAACTTCTTTGCTTGGACCATCATACAAAGCTTCTCTTCTATGGACCATCACACCAACCATACAACACAACAGCGAGGTACACTCTGCAGGCAGGCGGTTCCAATCTCAGCTTTAATACTTTCTAGAACCTGGGAGAGACTGGCTCAGCACATTGGATGGATGGATGGATGGATGGATGGATGGATGGATGGGTGGATTCTATGTGTGGTGGGTGAGTAGATGAGTAAATGTGTAGATGTTGAATGGATGGATAGATAGGTGGGAAGATATATTGAGTGAATGAATAGTTGGACGGACATATGAATAAAAAAGAAGTATAGATATGTGGATGGGTGGATGGGAAATGGATAAATGAGGGGGAGGGTGGACGGGAGGGTGGATGGGTGGACAGGTAGATGGATCTATGAATAAACTGTGGGATGTATGTATGTGCTCATTGGTTGGATAGGGGATGAGTGGGCAGGTGGGTGGTAGGAAGATGAATGAATAAATGAATGAATGAATGAATGAATGTGTGAGTGAATGAGAGGATAAATGGGTAGGTGGGTAGATGTATAGATGTGTGGATATATGTATGAGTAGATTGATGGAAGGATCGATTGGATGGATGGGCTTAGTGGGTGGGTGAATGGATGGATAGACAGATAAATGAGAGGATGGGTAGGTGTGTGGCTGGTTGGATAGATGGATGGATGAATGGATAAATGGGATTGATAGAGGATGGATGGATGGATGAGTTGGTAGGTAGATGGGTGGATGGATAGATGGATGGAAAGATGGATGGATGGATGGATGGATGGATGGCCCTGGATGACAGTCTTCTCACCTATAGAACGGAGGTCATAAGACAACTGCCATGAGTCTAGGAATTGAAAGAGGAACCACAGTTTGCTGCTTCTATGTCTGGCCTGTATTCAGCATTATCTTTGTTTTGATGGTCACTAAAATTATTATTAATCTATTTATTCATCTGTTTACACTTATACTGCTAAGGCTCAAGTCCAGGGCCTAGTGCAGGGTCAGCAACACTTGACCTGTGAGCCATACTCCCTACCCCAGCCTATCAGGGTACTGTATAACTACTCTAGATACAAGAGGAAAAAGGAACAAGTAGTCAAGAGGAGGAAAAGCCAAAGGGGCTTAATTTGCTGAGATCCCAGACTTGTGACTCATGGCCCACCTACAGACTATTTTGGAGGGAACTGTAAATGTGGAGAAGGACAAAGAAGATGATGGTGAGCGCGGGTGTGAAGAGTGTGAGCTGCGGCCATGTTGCCTTCTGTGACACAATGGCAAGAGCCCGGGACTCAAAGTCTGGAGTGTGACTTTGCAAGAATCTTGGTGCGCTGGGCCCTCCCTAGACCTCAGTTTCCACTTCCAAATCCATCCACTAATGGTGAGTGAGAAGGGCCCCCCAGGTCCCACAAGTCTGTCCCTGAAGAGGCCCCAGAAGAGGTTCCTGCTGCAGCCTGAGGTCCCCTGTGTGGAAGAACTCTGCTCCTGACTCTTTGGTTGGGTTCTGGGTGGCTAAGTTTGGCTGCTCATCAGAGTCTCTTGATGTCTGTCCTTGTATCCCACTGGGAGCTCAACAAGGGAGCTTTGCTATCAGATTGGGACCCTTCCATCAGGCTGGATACCTTCCTTGTCCTGTGGGTCTATCATGCTGTTCCTGGAAAAGGACTGGAAGCAACTGCCCATCTTATCCACTGAGGACCGAAAGGACTCACCTTGCAAAAGCTGCCTGCCTGCCTGCCTCTTGTAGTCCAGACTGGCCTTGGGCTTATTATGTAGCTAAGGATGATCTTGAATTTCTGATTCTCCTGCTCCTAGCTCCCAAGTGTTGGGTGGGATTACAGGTGTGCACCACCATGCCCCATTTCTCGGGAGCTATTTTCTAAGTCATTATCCAAGTAACTGACCCTCAGACAGGAGCAAAGTCTTAACCAGAGAAGTCATCAGAAGTGAGGACAGGCTTCTCTTTCCCTGCACCTCATCAGAAGGACTCGGGGCACAACCAGGAGGTCCCTTGAGGAGTACTTAATGGCTGGGGCTATAAGGCTGGGGTTTGTGGGCTGGGGCATCAGAGATTCCCAGCCTCAAGGAAGGCCTCGGACTGAGTCTACTCTGACAGTAGCCTCCAATCTGAAGTGCTTGTACCTTGATTGTTTTTTTAAGATTTATTTATTTATTATTCATACAGTGTTCTGCCAGCATGCATGCCTACATGCCAGAAGAAGACACCCCATCTCATTACAGGTGGTTGTGAGCCACCATGTGGTTGCTGGGAATTGAACTCAGGACTTCTGGAAGAGCAACCAGTACTCTTAACCTCTAAGCCATCTCTCCAGCCCCGGATCTTGGTTTTTTGTTTGTTTGTGTGTTTTTTTTTTTTTTTAAACTCACAACATGGATTGAAGGACCCCTCTCCTCCCTCCAGCTGAGAAGTTAGGCCCTGGGACTCCTGAGATGTGGGTTTGAAGCCTGACTCATACATAGGTTAAAATACGAATAACAACCAGAACAGTGTCTTCCCGAGGACTGCAGAAAGCTCAGGCCTCTTGCCATGGAGTCACTACTGATTTGGCTGCTCTGGTGGCCCCCAGGGCAGGCTCTCCCCCTTGTTTTCACTGATTTGTCCCAAGTGCAGTGACAGCGCCTGATGAATGGCCCACACTAGCTCCATTGGGCCTCTGAGGTGCCATCTCCAGAATGGGAAGCTTGTAGAACTTCCAGGAACAAAGGGATTTCTTATGGAATCCTGCTGGATCTCTCCAGGGAGTCCCTGATGCTCAGAGCCACCCATTTCCAAGACTGGATGGGGACAAGACAACCTAGTCAAAGCATGGGAAGAGGTCGGTTTTCCCACAGGCAGCCACAGACCACCAGCAAGATATGCAGGCTGGTCCCATCCCTAAATTTCCCGCTGTGTGTAGCTTTAGTTTTGGTTTCTGGAGAAACCAAAAATGCCTTCCAGTTTTCATGGCTAACACTATCCTGGTGACAGGGAGCAGATCTCTGATCCTGGGTAATAGTGTGCCAACCATCCTCAGCTCAGGTGACACACTCCCAGGGGACCTAGATGAACCATGGGGGACTTTCCTATTGGGGTCAACTTGTACTATAAATTGTGCTCCCTCTCTACCCCAGCAGATCCCTCCCAAGACCCCAGAGCCATGAAGATGAGAGTGAACCCTGAGGTAAGCAGGGGCTGTGAAATGTTGAGACTTTTAACTTATCCAGACTCCATTCGACCCTCGATGTTCAGAGGGTACCCTTGCCACCCTCAGTGGATGGATGCACACACACTACGTCCACATACTACAGCTGTATTCCTGGTGGGGTGTTAAGAACTGTAAACAGGGGAAGGCCGAGGTACCCATATGCACACTGGCCCCAGAGCTGTAGAAGGAGGCTCTCCGCCTCCCCCAAAGCCTGCACCTTTTCCCATGCAACACAGCTAGGTGCAGATCATGTTTCTCCCTTTGCCAAGCCTGGCTCTGGAAGACATGAGGAAGAAGGGCAAAGCAGGTGGGAGGCAGAATAGACTTGGGGGACTTGGGAGCCTGTTGTAGCTACAGAAGCAGACAACACATCGGCTCCTCAAAAATCACTCAGACTCCAAACCTCAGGTCTGTTCAACAAAGCCACCAATAACCCTGACAAGCCCTTCGTTATTGTTCCATCTTTCTCCAAGGCCACAACTTCATTGGGCCACAAGTGACTGAGCCAGCAACCAACTGCACATAAGTGAACCTGATTTTCTAAGCTCCAATTGAGAGCAGTGTTCCCTGCCCAGAACCTCGCCAGCAATTCTCTCCACCAATAGGAGAGATCCACGAAGTGCTGACTGGATCTAGAAAGAACTCTTGGTTCTAGATTCAAACCCGGCACCAGCCTTCCCCTGCTCACATGATGACACCATAGATCAGTTATCAAGTTCAGAATGGCTGTTGGGCCAAGAGCAGGTCCTGTAATCAGTCCCTGCTTATTTGGGGGAAGTGACAACCTGTTCCCCAATTTCTAGCTTGGCAGCAAGAGGAAGGTCAGCCCAGAACCATGATCACCAATGCAGGCAAGGGAAGGAAAAAGGAACATTTGTTTTTCCATTCAAATTCTCTCAGGGTCTCCAGCATCCAGAGACTTCCCAAGACCACTGAGTTCTGATTGACACTTTTCCCCTGTGGGAGAGAGCCAGACTGGGTTACCCTGGGCACCTCTGGTCGGGCCAAGAGGAGTCTGGCAATGGGACCCCCCAGATGGGGCAAAGAGGTCACCTACCTGAGGAGACAGGCCGTTGCTGACGGGGTTCATGTGGTTGGAGGGGGCCCCCGGGTTCATGAAGCTGTCTGAGTAGCTGGAGAAGCTGTGGCGGGCTCCATAGGCAGAGCTGGTGTCGGCGGCTGCAGCGGCTGCAGCCAATCCACCCTGATGCATGGTTGATGGTGGAAGGGGCTGGGGCCTGTGCACTGTGCTGCCCCCATCTGAGGAGAGACCCACAGAGGTCCTAAGCAAGTGGCAAAAGCAGCCTTGGGAACTCTCCCACCCAGATGTGCCCTCTGGAGGGAAGGGAGCAGCTTCTCAAGTGACTTGGGCTGGTTCCCAGGCAGCCCTACAGACTGACCTGGGGCGTGACTGGCACCCTGTTGACATATAGATGACCTCTAGGCAACTTGTACACAGGTAGGTCCTGGTGCTTTGTGTTAGGCATACTGCATGTGCTCAATAAATGGATTGTAAGTTGTACCTGATGAGAACTATAATCTGCTCAGACTTGCCCTATTAGCATTTTGTGGGTACTGGTGACCCATCTGGTGCCTTCCCTCATGCTGAGAAGAGCACAAAGCCAAGAGTGAGTCCTAGCTTATGGGGGCAGGGGGCAGGGATGTCTGTGCCTCAGTCAGGTTGGGTTAGAATCAAGGCCAATGAGTGAAGTATGCTTGAAATAACTGACTTGCTTCTCCTTTGCTCAGTAGGGTGCTTCTGCACAGTTTCAGCCTGGGACCCTGATGTCCTCAGCACTGCCTTGATTTCTTATTGCGAATCATGGGCAGGGCTCTCTGGCTCCTTAGCTTCCAGAATGCCAGCCTCCAGGCCCTTCAGGAGGCAGCCCTGTGCCTGCCTCAGACATCAAGAGGTTTCTTGTGTGTGTTGGGGTGGGAGCAAGATGCAGGGTGGGCACCTAGGACACTGGGGAAGGAAACCTTTTGGGTATTGTGGGCTCTCTCCCTGCCACCTCCCTCCCCCTCAGCATTCCCCTTGCTGGGGCTGTGTGGCATCTTAGAAGCTACTGGAAGAACTGTGCCCAAGGGATCTTCCTTCCTTAAGGGGTCTCAGTGGCCCAGTGCAGCCCTGGGGGATGGAGGAGTGGGATCGGTTTGGCTCTTTAGCCCTTAGTGAAGAGGAGTTTCAAGGTCAGAACAGCAGAACTGTCCATTTTCTAATCGAAGACACTCACCTTGGGAGATGGTAGTGGTGGGGTAGGTGGAGTCCGGCAGCTGGTAGGGTGGCAAGGTGGGCATGCCAGTGGGTGGGAAACCTCCAGGCAGAAGGTGGTTGAAGGCAGCCAGCTGGTTAGCTCCTGCCTGCTTGCGCCAGCGGGCACGGCGGTTACTGAACCAGACCTGAAGGGGAGAAGATGCTGAGCTTGGGTCCCTGCTGAGGCATGGGTACCTGTTGTGCAGCCCAGGATGGTCTGCAGGGAACTTCAAAGGCCAGCCCCCCTTACCACTATCCAGAGAGGTCTTTTAGAATGACCCCTGTTTTACCAGTGAGGGACTGAGCTAGAGGAAGTAGTTGACAGCCACAGGACAGGGTGACAGGAGGCCTGGAGAGGTCTGTCAGTGCTCTTCCCAGAGCAGTGCTCCAGCCCAAGGTCTCCAGTCCTTGCTCCAAATCTCCAACTTCTCCAGGAAGCCCTCCAAGAGGACACCACACATACAGAATGTCCTAGTAAGGATGCCCTTGGTACCCAGCTGGGCCAACTGAAGGCTGAGACCCTGCCCTGCTCACATAGCCTGGGCACTGCTAGAATAGCATATGCACAGGCCCACACATACACACATGCACACAAACACACACATATGCACAGGTACACACATACATGCATGCACACCAACACACACACACCAACACGCCCCCACGCCCCCACACCCCCACAGCTGCAGGGGGTTCGTTTCCACTTCTGGGCTTTCCACACACTGCTCCCTTTCACCAGAGGTTGTTTCTATGTCGGGCTCTTTGGCTTCCAGATAGAAAGCCCCTCCTACACCAACACCCTCATGGCTGCACCCAAGATGGGCAAGTGACCCCCCCCCCGCGCCCTGCCCCAAGGGAGGCCCTGCTTGGTCCTTCTCACATCGGCGTCATTCTGTTTATCTGTTCCCAGCTGAGTAGCTCTCAGCCTCTCTTCAGGTTTGGGAAATCCAGGGCAGAGGCCCTGCATTCCTTATGCCCTCCCTGCAGGGTGAGCATTCCATAGGTGCTGAATAAATGAAGAAAGGAACAAGGGTGGAACAAGGTCTCTCTATGTGACAGTCCTGGAATTCGTTCTGTAGACCGGGCTAATCTTAAATTCATAGAGTTCCCCCTGTCTCTGCCTCCTGAGTACTGGGATTAAAGGTGTGTGCCATCACCACCTGGTTTTTTTGTGAGTTTTGTTTTGTTTTTAGATAAGGTCTCCTGTAGTCTAGGCTGCCTTTGAACTTGAAAGGTAGCCAAGGATGACGTTAAACTTCTGATCTTCCTCCTGCCACTCCCAGGTACTGAGGTAACAGGTGTGTACCAACTGGTTTATACAGTGCTGGGAACCAAACCACGGGCCTTGTGCATGCTAGGCTGCTAGGCGAGCACTCTGCCCACTGAGCTACAAGCTTGCCATAGTCCCTAACATCTTGTTGCTTCGTATTTAATTGTGTAACCCCAGAAGGGAGCAGACCCTGCTGTCACGGTCTCTGTTTTGCAAAAAAAAAAGGACACTGCGACAGGAAAGATATACCCATATCACCACCTCCATGTCCATGTCAAGCACTCTGCTCGCCCACATGCTGAGATGAGATGTCCCTGGGTTGTGAGACCCTAGAAGCACAGATTCTTTGAAACAGAGGCTAAATGGCGAGACACACGGAGTTGGAGAATCACAACACCCAGGGCCTTGAGTCCCTGGCCCGTTCCCTACAGCAGAAAACCCCTCACCAGGGCTCCCTATCCGTGAACACTGTGTCTCACCCCCTCACTGAGCATTTGCTATGCCAGTAAGACCTCAGAACCCAAAGGAGTCTTGGTGACCACTGAGCTCCGACCCGTTACAAACTTCATTTTGGGAAAGGAGGCTGAGCTGCTGAAGGGGACTTGGCTGCTCAGTGGCAGGGATGGAGGCTTTCCACCTGGAGTCTCTTCTTGCAGACTTCTTTGTTGGACTTGAGTGGATGTCCTGTCAGCTCTTGTCCTACCTCCAGGGCCTCTAAGTATCTGGGAGCTTCCAGACTCCTCCCTTAGCACCAAGCCTTAAGATTTTGGGTCAGCCTCTCTAAAGTTTTGTGTTTGTTTCTTCCTCTCTGCTCTATCCTATCCAGGGAGCTTCCAGGCCATGAGAGGAGAGGGACCCAAAAAACCAATGGCTGGTGGCCCTTTCTGTGGTTCCTCCATTCCCAGACCCCTCCCTCTTTGAACCTTGAGTAACACCTGTTTCCGTGTCCCCTGGGCCAATGAAAGCACTGCTCTGATGGCCAGGGACTTTTCTAAGAAGCTGCCAGTCTCCGGGTGGTAGGAAGCCATGGGGCTGCCAGACTAGGCAATGAGAAAGCTGGGAGGAATGTGCTCAGGACAACAGCTGCGAGGATCAAGGAGAAAGGAAGGCAGTCTGCAGCTCCAGTGTCAGCAGGAGGGGAGGGGATGAGATGAGCTAGCTGGCTGCCGTGGGCTGCCGCTTCCCCTTGACAGTGGAAAGAGGGTTTAAGGCCAGTTTCTTCTAGCACTTTCCTTATTGCTTTCTAATTCCGGCTTCGGAGTCAGCTTCCTTCTCTTGGGTACAGAAAGAACGCAGGCTTCAGTGTCAGCCAGGCCAGACTGCCCCAGTCTAGCTCTGTCCCACTCTGAGCTCCAGCTTCTACTGTGACTTGAGCTGGGGGAGTGGCCATCCCAACCTGAGTCTGAGACTCCATCGCTTTCGACATCATGGCTTGCAGCCGTGGGGTTGCTGAGAAAAGCCTCTTCTCGGGGTGGCATGGTTTGAGGCAGCCCCTCTGCAGAACCACCACCTCCTCTGTACATGAAGCTAACAGTCCAGGACAAAGCTCTGGTGCAAGCCACTCATCAAGTCATCCTGCCCTCCCCCAATCTCCTCCATAGCCCTGGCCCTCTCCAGGCAGGCACAGAGACGAGTGTAGTCTGTGTTCTGCAGGAAAAGGCCCCCAGGGCTCAGCCTGGGGCAGATGAGATGGGCTGCCCCTCCTCCTTTACCTTCCCCAAGGAGACCTGAACCTCAGCCTGGACTCTTTCCCCTGTCACCAGGGGATTAGGGGCTGTGTACTCCAGGTGTTTAGGGCTTTGGGCAAACCTACCCAGAACACATCTTGTATTCGTCTAGCAATGGGAAACTCATTCCCTGCCTGAGGAAGACAGGCCTGCTGGGAAGTTTCCCTCCTCACAGGAGGTTTAGAGACTCCATGTGCCTGCCCTCTTCTCTGACCGACTGCTGCCTACTCTCCCTCTCTCCAGTCCTCCAGCGTCTCTTCCCCATTCGCCCTCTTCTTTCTTCTCATCTCTCCCTGCGTCCCCCCTCTCCTCTGTGCTCTCCACCTCTCTGTTAATGGGTAAATCAATCAGCCAGCATGTGCCGCACACGTGACCCCAGGGTCACCCATAGGAAACTTCTGGAACAAGCAAGCG